TAAGCGTTGGCCTCCAACCTACCTAGCGATGGCCTGATAGCCTCCAATCTACTAGCGATGGCCTCCAACCTACTACTCAGAAGTGGCCTCCATTCTACTAGTTACTAGCGATGGCCTTCGGCCTTCAACCTACTAAGCGATGGCCTCCCGCCCACTAGGGATGGCGTCCAACCTACTAGCGATGGCCTCCAACCTAGGTGGAACTGAAACGCTCTCAAATCTCAAAAATGTAAAGACCTATACAGTATACATTTTGAGGATGCACATTTTAGGTAACTTGGCAGCTGTTCGATCATCCAAGAAGCAAGCTGTTCGATTATCGAAGAAGCAAGCTGTTCAATTATCACACTTTGGGTGACATCTTTGCGGAAAATCGATGTGACCACATTAGTGTGGATGATGAGTTCTGGGCAGGATGGGAAGCTCAGCTCACAAAGAAGATGCCATCAGAATCGGAATACGTCTTTGATTGGCGAGAATACCTTTCCTTCGAGAAATAGGAATTTGCAAGACAAGAATCTGGGAGGGGCACAACCGTCTTCAGCAGAAATGTCTGCTCTCGATGGCTCTGGTGAGGGACTCAATAATCCACCACAAGCAACACCGAAGGTCCCTCACGGCTGAGACAAACGCGTATGTCATGAGACAAACGGTTGATTCATCAAGCCGAGTGGTCCAACATCTCCATGGGGGTGTTGACCACTGACATGGAAGGGACGTTCCAAGAAACATAAGCCGGCGACAACCAGCAAACAACGAGAGAAACCTAGGACCTAGAGTCCTAGAGTTCCACAGAACCAGGATGAGTATACCATGTCCCTTCGCAGTAGGACCTTGAGACCTTCTCCACTCAAACTCCTGAACCAACTCTCTTTCAAACAAGACTTTCTTGTTGGCTTCTTCCCGCAGCACTCGTGCCATGATCTTTTCGTCATCTCACGACCATCTTCTCATCAGAAAATCGAGACAGACTCAGGACTCGTCCCTCGTCCCGATCGTTTGCGCGGTGGTTGACACCACTTGTGACAGCACAAAAATCATCTGTGCGGAACCATAGAGCCAATTCTTCGCATTCTTCGCAACGCAAAGAAAACCGCAACCGGCAATATAAGAGCTTTGTGGAGGACATGGAACAGTTCGTTTCTAGCGAATCAACAAGGTCTTTGAGAGCTCGATGAGAGCTCGATGATTCCTCTGTGTTTGCGATGTGGTGGGAACACTATAATTCTGGATCTGGCTGCGGGCACGGCACCGGGCATCCTCTGAAACAGGGGATGTGAACAACAGGTTTTGTTTTTGACCTTCCACCGATAGGAGGTCTTGCGATATACCTATGGCTTGTGTTAACGTCACAATACTGACACTTCCTGAGCACCCCAAGCCGCAGCAGGCGTTGGCAGCCGGCGAACCTAAATCAACGAGCAGCAGCGGATTTCTGGGACAAGCCCCGACCTGGCTTGCCTCTTTTGAAGTGACCCTTGGAATCCATCGAGATCTGCGACCACCACTCCCAAGGCGTCGCTTCGGCGTCCATGCGCCGGGCAAAAAGGTCCGTCCCAAAGTGTGGAGAAGAACACGGTCCGACGGTGTCATGAAACAGGTCGAATGGTCCTACCAGCCAAGCTCAACAGCCCCCCACCACCGCGTAGGGTACGCGCCTGCGCTGTGTCTGCGCGGGCATGAAGCCTTGTGGGACAGCAGCAAGCGAGCACGCGCTCGGGCAAGAAGGACCAAATGGCAGCGGTTTGGTCGGGAAAACTGTTTGAAGTCTTCATTGTTAAAATCACCAGACCAGTCTACAACTGGTAGAAAGAAATCGTCAAGCCCAGATGATGTCGGTAAGGATTTCGGATTTCGACAATCGTGGACCTTTTGCCTCACGGATTCAATCGGAGCAGTCGACTTTTCTGCTGTCCAGTCTCATCGCTTCTCACTCAAGAACTGGGTAGTGTTGGAAAGCTATGGCCATTTCGAAAGACTCAAAGGCGGAGTAACCCCCAAGTAACGTCTTCGCCTACGTAGTCTGCCTACCCCATGCGTCCAGCCTCCCTGCACAAGCTGCTAAAGCTACAACCATTTCACTCACGGCGCGAGAACTTGACACATTTAGACACCCCTGCACAATCTACGGGACGCAGGAACCTTAGACAAACCATCACCCATCACCCATCATCACCCCTTGGACCCAAACCAGGCAAGCTCGTTGCTAAACCGAGCCGTTCTTGGCCCGCTCCGTTCTTTCCCTTCTCAAAACTCCCCAGCATCACCTGAAGGCACTCCTCCTCGACCAATCCAAAGCCTCGACCTCACCCCTGAATCAACCGCTTGCCCGTGGAAACCAGTCCATCTGGGGTGCCCGGGCGGCGCCGCGTCAACGGCTTGCGCCGTGCGTCCGAAGCTCAGCGCTGCGGGAGCACCTGGGAAACTGGAGCGGGAGCCGGAGCTGCAGCAAGTTCGGGTTCTTCGGTTTGCTTCTTGTTCCATCCACAGTTCACACCACTCTTAGATTGTTTAACGCGACACAGGTTGCGGCCGTCGTGTTTCGAGCCCGTCGTAGCCTAAACATGAGCGATATGTTCAATGAATTTCCCGAGAATTATGGGCGACCATCCGGGACCCTTTGTATCATGAAATACTGAACGCTTAGACTAAGACCGCCAAGATTTGCCTGTGGTTCACATTAAAATTGGCAAGAAGTCAAATTCACTCGTTCCAAACCCGGTCCATGCTGTTGATGCGTCAGAAATCCTACACCTACTGTTGATGCCACAAAGACCATAAAGACCATCCGGTTCCCATTGTCTCAGTGTCAGGTGATGCAAAATGTCTTTCGCCAACAAGTAGCTTGGTGAGCAATCTGTTTCGAAAGATCAGACCTGAAGTGCAACATAGCCATCAGATTCACCGAACAAGAGGAACCTTTCTGCCCAACGTCGAATTTCGAACTCACAGCGCTGTGAATTGAAAGCAAGAGACTATGTGACTATCTTCAAAACGGAAAAGCCAGAACAACGCCATGTTTGGAGACCAAACACGAATCCTACTCACCTGACTGGGGAACCTAGAGGAACAGGTTCCTCCTGTAGGCACTTCAAGTCGGCAAATGTTCTTGTCACAGTTTAGGGTTCCAATTGGTTCAAGTCCTCCACAAATGCACAAACAACCCTCATCAATCACACTCGCCTGGCTTCAGGTGCTGCAACTCTTTGGACACCTGAAAGCGCTCAGTCCCGCTTTGGGTCGTCTCTTGCAGGCCACCATGGAAGCGGGTCACCTTCCCTTTTTGGCCAAGCAAGGCATTGCCTAAGGCATCCAAGCACATCGTGGGATGTTTTTGGTATGGCAATCCACTTAAATCAAAACGCGGTAAGAACACATGTCCATACCAATCAGGCCAATCAGGTGTTCTTTTTTTGTATTGCGCCGCAACCGTGTGGTTTTCTCCATCTTGAGGTCTTTGGGCAGCTACCATCTTAAGCTGAAGGTGTGAGTCTTAGAGTAAACAAAAAGCATGGAAAGTGAAAATGTCTCCAGGTGCTTCTCCTGCCCGTCTGGAGGCGCTTCTCGCGAAACCCCGCAAAGCTTAAAGCTTCCTGGAAGCCATAGAAGAATTTCGTTCATGAGCCGCAAAAAGCTGTCTTCAACAGAGAATCAGAATGCAACCGAAAAAGCACCCCGTGCCCCCCAATCCGCTCCTCTGCTCCTCCGCATTCGGGTGAACCACCGTTGAAAGCGGGGACGCCCCGAGTTTTCGCGACGCTGAAAGCAACCTGTTCCAAGTGCTTCGCATTGGCGAAGCCTTTGCCTCGGCCGGGGCCCACACTGGTCAACGTGGAGAAAAAGTCCCGTTGGCGAAAACGGAAGAGAAGACTAAACATGTTGACATGACAGCCGGTTGTTTGGGAAAACACCAAATCTTTTTTGGTTGTTTAGGATGTTTGCCTGTGATCCATATGATTTATCCAAGTGTTCCCAAGTATCGAATCTCAAATCAATCATATTGGTGACCTCCGGGTTGGTTCTCAGGTTTTCCATCACTTGGCGGGATGTCCTTAGAATCCACCCCTACCGATGCTCCGCGAGCTCCGCAGAGAACCAGCCAACACATGGAGAAAGGGAAGCTACCTCCGAGTTCACTCAACACACAGGGCCCCCAGTGCCCCCCAGTCCAAGATCTGGCAAGTGGTCACCGGAAGATCCGAACCAAAACCGTCCTGGCGTCGTGTCCTTTTTCGCTCACTCAACTCTCTAAACGTCCCAGGCCGCCCCTTTTGCTTTCTTTCTCCAAAGCAACCAGTCGGAACAGAGTCCGGAGGACCGTGATCGTGCCCCAGCGGCCCCCCAAGTCTTATATGGCCAGGAAACTGTACAAGTCATCGAAGCTGGAGTTTTCGAACTCGGCAAAGCTTAAGCCATTCATCCTTGGCCGAAGCCAAAAACGACAACGACCGGATAAAGGTCGAAGGCTGAAGCACATGTTCTGAAACACCCACCTCTCACGGTGCCCCTCTGTACCCGGTACCCCGAAACCATAGCATGTTCCCTCGAGGGTTCACACCGGCCAGGGGCGCTTGGGTTCCCTTTGGAATGTCTAGAACAGGGCGGTGATCACACGTACAGGCACCTGAAAACCGGGTGGTTTCATGCTGACTGGCTGTCCCAAACGGATGAGAGAATGGGAAAGGCACTTGAAATCGTGAAGGATGTGGCCAATTACAGTGAGCCCTGATCCATTTCGAGATTTGATTTGCACACATGCATGACCAACTCCCAGACAAGGATGCCAGCTTCAACAAGCAAGCTGTTAATTTTGACATGTTCTGCAATCTTTTGCGCAAAGATCCTCCCTCACCCCTCATGCCAATGGGCCTTGCAGCTCGCGCAAGCGGGTTGCTGCCGCCCCAGAACACCACTGTTGAACCGACAAACACATCTCACTCGAGCAGGCCGTACAGGCGGCTTCACTTTCTTCAGAGCAAACGGTACATCTGCCCATTTCAATAGCCCTGTTCAAAAGGTCATACTTGGAAGTAACACATGCGGAGGTATGGTCAACTGGACCGAGGCGGTCAGGGAAACCAATCTCGCCTTCAGGTGTTCACAGTCAGCCGAAGGTGTTTGCAGGGCAAAAAAAGGTGCCTAATCGTTGGTGTTTGCAGGTCACTGGCAGCCATGTCCACGTCAAAAAAGAGCACTCAAGAAAAGAAGAACAAATCACTTGCGATCTAGAGCAACCAAAAAGTGAGTATCCTTGTCCAAGAGCCGCTTGAGGCGGCCTATCTCTTTTTCGGCTCAACCAAAAAAAACAAAAACATGAGCCAGAGATGTCCTACCCTCCAAACCAGCTGGGAGCTGCGGTCAAGACGGACCCTATGTGGTGAACCCCAGCAGAACGATGTTTGTCCGTGTTTCGGGGAAAAAGTATTTCACAAAGAGCTCTTTCAAAAAGAAAGTGAGACAGGATCCCTCCACAAAGCAAATCATGCGGCTGCGGCAGCAAACCTGTTTTCCAGCACTCATGAGCTGTTCTTGTCAGTCATCAAAACCCCTGATGCGTTTCTTCCAAAATGTGCTCTATCTATTTCTGTATTCGTCTATACACAATACAAATTTTCTGCATTGGGGGCTGACATCTGTTCACAGAGGTTTCGTCTTCCGGCGAGGACAAAAGGGGCATTAAATGTTGGCACTTGGTGCAACTGCCCGCAACAAAGAATTCCGTTGTGTTGAACAAGGATACGCCGCGGTTCTGGCACATTCTACGTGTTGACATGCCGGGAGTCTCCTGCTTTTAGGTTCCTTTATACAATTTAAGTCTAGTTTTTGCTAGGAAACATACCCGGGGTCAACAAATCCATTTGTCCACATGAGCAAGATTACAGAACGAGAAATGTTGGCTGATGTCATTCGGCAAAGGCTCCCTGTTGCAACCCCCCACACAAAAAACACTGTCAGTGCTTGGTTGGACGAAAACAAAAACAAAATATGAATCATTCCTAGTAGCTTCTTGTTCCTACTAGTAAGGCACCTGTTACTACTAGCGTGGCATTTGTTCCTAGTAGCTTATAGCAGCACCGGACGCTGGTACAACCGCCTGGAAGTGGTGAACAACTGCGGTGCACAGGGCAAACCTCAACGCCACCCCGCGAGCGTCGACCAACCACCATCTTCACAGCAACCGGCAGCAGAATTCAGCAACGCCAGCAACAACAACCAAAGTCAAAAGGACAAAAAGAGCAAATTGACCACTAAGAACCAAACAAGCAAGCGAAATAAAAGCCAGCAATTATTGCAACTAGCACAGGACAGCACTTCCTATGACCCTTTTCATCCAACCTAGGGAAGAAGTCTAGCTAGCTCGTTGACAAACACGCGGTCACCGACTCGCTTGTCCCAAGATGCCTGCCTGTTTCTTGTCGTCAGGAAGTGCAAAACACTAGATCTTCCAAAAGCAATAAGTGCTTTGGACTCTGTTTTTTATCGCCACAAAAGTACAATGACTCAAGTGCAGTATGACTGCCTGCTTCAAATCCCTGATGCACCACCTCAAGTTGTGGACCAGTTAAAACAAAAGGTGACTGGACACTCTCCCAGATCGCGCTTGACAATGTAAGTGAGCCCAATACTGCATCATTGATGCATACATTTGTCACCTTTGTCGATACCTGCAAATATTAAACCATAGCGTGAGAATACCTCCTTTTGCGCACATGGGCGGCGCATGGGTGGCGCATGGGCGCTGGTGGTCAAAAAGAAGCAACAAGCCAAGCCCACAGAGCAAGGTGGCGTAGTCGTCAACAAGCCAAGCCAGGCAACCAATGAAGCAACAAACCAACCAACACCAATAACGAACACTTAAACCAACCACCAACCTGCAACCCTCGGAGAATATCAGAAACCCTTCTCATTGGTCCACTGTACTGTCAGCCTGTCAGCCATTTCTGAGCGTCCCTTCCCCGGTCACGCCGCTGAAGGCGGTCCGGTCACGTCTCCCGACGTCGGGAGCCGAACTCGGCAGGCGAACTCGTCGTCATGGTGGGCTCTGCTGCTGAAAGGCTTCCAACTGTTGAAGAGCCATCGTGGCCACCGCCCGACTCTTGCGGATGGGCGTCTGGCTCCTGAGACGGCGTGACGGTGTCGAAGAAGCGAGTCGACGGAGCTTTCGTAATGCGTCGACGTTCCTTCCAAAATCACTCAAAAGTGTCCATTTCCTTCGAATTGAAGGGTTAAGAGACCCTGGCTGTTCCGCATCCCAGATTAAATTCGCGTGTGCCATGGTCAAACTTCCTTGTAAGGGGGGATGGTTATTATCCTGCCATTCTTACAAAAAGTGGATGCCAGTCGCCCTTTACCTACTCACTGTTTTGACGGTGGCACATGTCAGACTGCAAGACTGTGCTTGCACAATCAGGAGTTCAGTTTTCGAGTTTGGAGAACGTGAAACACCTACAGTGGCTGGAAGTGCTCTTCAATTTCCTCGAGATGTCATTAAATCAAAAATATGTGTGTGTGTGTCAACAGCCAAGACTTTCCGCATGTCAACAGTATTGCCTTGAACGCGAAAGAGTCTGAAAAATGAAAGTGTTGCTGGGGTTGGTCTACTAACAACGTTGCTGCTTTATTGAAGGCAATAAAGTTCCTCTTGAAGAGAACACTCTGGGCACCTCGACTGATGTCGTTTCGAGGAACCCTTCGGCACTCTTGAGGCGATCTCTCATCGAATTCGCCACCTCGACGAACGCAAGGCGTTTTCAACCCGACGAGCTGTCGGGGGTTGGGGAACTCCCGTGGTCGCTTTCATGGGGAAGAACTGGATCTCCCCCGCTCCAAAAAAGTAGCTCGCTCCTGAGCACCAGCTAGCCTAAAACATGGTGACACGGCATGCACCACATTCAAGTCCGTCCGGTGGTGTGAAAAAATACCTTTGAGGCTCACAAGAAATCGAGCCAGCAGCCAGCAGAATTGCCCACAAACAAGCTGCAAAGCCCTGTTTTACAAAGAACCTCCCACCCCCAGACGCAACGCAGTAAACTGTAAACAATAGCAAACCCATGAAAGCTGGCCGCAAAGGGGGTCGAGTTTGTCTCTTTGATCAAGAATGGCTGATGGTGAACAACTCTGGGTTGTAGAGGTGAAAATTATTGTTTAAAGAAATATATAATAAAGGCTCTGATGGTGAAACCCGAGCATCTCTTGCTGATTCTTCACATACTCTTCAGGGAAGACATGACGCAAAAACTCGATGCAATCCAGCGAGCCATTCTGGTCGTCATCAAAAAGGCTGAAGATGTCAAAAGCCTTCTCAACACTGATCCTGGGTTGACAAAAAACATCGCCGTTCCTTCTTGCAGTTTTTTGGGTTTTAGTCATGCCATGTCGTTACCATTAGCTGGACATACTTTGCACCCTAAAATTCTTGAGACTAATCGACTGGAACAGCGATTGGCAGAAAAAGGACCCTGCAAACTCCTAGTTCCACCAGTGAGGTGGAGCCCAGTTCGCCGTCACCCACCGAAACTGACCTGCTAAACTGGCCGTCTCCTTCACCGAAAAAACTGCCACGTCGGACACGTCGGACGTCGCCAGTGAAAAAGCGATGCACCCGACTCGCGGGTCTCCCCAAACGGAAACTACATGACACCCGACTCGCCGAAGTGACCTGCTCAGCAGTGACCGACCTGTGTATATTCGTCCAAATCGATCGCCCAATCCCAGCATCGAAAAAACGCTCTAAGTGTGTGTGTGTGTGTGTATTGGGGGAGACCCCCCAAACCGGGGAGCCTGAGAAGTCTTTGTTCCCTCTGTGTGGGGCTGTTGGGAGGTCACCCAGATGTGGTGTACTGATAGGCGTCCTAAAAAGATGACTCCTACCTTAGACCCCCCCCTATGTCCACATACCCAGGAATAATTACTAATTATTCCACTACCCTTGGACATACATACATGTTTCTTTTTTCAAGAGGTGCACCTGATGCAGGAATATTTTCTGTCATTAGGCTCAGCACTTCCGACCCTAGACATAGGAATCCGTTCAAAGGATATGTAAAAATGTGTAAACACAGTGAAGACAGGTCAATAAACTATGCTTCCAGGCTCGAAGAACACATCCAAGACCGTCTCGACATGGAAGGGAAGGGTTTGGGATGGCATCCCAACAACAAAAACTTAAAACTATCTTAAATAAAACATTCAGAGGGTGTGGCGCATGCAATCTAGTGGATGGGAAATTCGCAAAACTCTGGAAACATCAAGGAAACAGAGGGAATGAACGAATATGACCAGCAAACTATCAACAAATTAAAAATAAACTAGCTACTTTTTGTACATGTTTTCTCCTCTCTCCCTGTCTCGTGTCTACTCCCTTAACGTTCGAATTCCTTCTGGAGACCCCATGGCCGAAAGGGTGCCTGTGGTGACGATGTCTTGACCCGGTTAGTCTCCCCGTGGCCCCAACCACATCAGCTGCCTGAGGCCCCAAAAATTGATTTGTCAATCTCTAAGTGTTAGACACTTTGCGGGTACACTTTGTCTCTGCAGTCTCCACTCCAAGAACCTGTACTTCTCTATCAGCATCTAGTCGACATGCTTCGATCATGTAAATTATTCCAAGGTTAGTTGTCATTAAATTATTCCATTTGAGTCTCAACATAAAGAGACTCAGACCCCCTTCAGGATTACTTAAATAAATATTCTACCCTGGGACCTGGAACGACCACTTTTTTTTGGTCGTTTTGAAAACAACCATTTTTTTTTGGTCGTTTCAAAAAAATACGGTCGTTTTATCTTGCAGTCATTTTACACATGAAAACATTGGTCGTATATATATATATATATACGTTTTTATATGTTTTTATACGGTTTGCATACGGTTTGCATACGGCCTGTATACGGTCGTGGTTCGAAGAATATACGGTCGTTTCAACAAAATACGGTCGTGGTTCGAA